CTTTATCTCTCACGTACACTTTAGATTCATACTCAAATCTTTGCACACTATTTAAAAAAAAAACTCACTTTTTTCCTTTTCAATATTCATTTGAGCTTTCATTTTTTCTGAGGTAGAGGAGATTGAGGCAATAGTTACAATTACGTGTCTTGAAATAGCGAAAGTTTGAACATGGAAGACAAAAAAGATAAGTAATTCTAAACTAAATGCGATTGAAGGTGACATCACAATAAGAGATGTTTTAGATTAGCAGAGTTCCAGTATCTCAATGATGAGAAAATCTAGAATCTTGTGGAGGCAGTAAAGTAAGAGTATTGATGAATGATTGCTCACTCATTGAATAACCAATTGTAGGCTGAATGATTGTAGGGATTATATTACTGACTTTTTATAAAAAAAATTACAACTGATTCATATTGAATTTTTTAATATCACATCAGATGTTACATGATATTTAATGTAATATCCACTTGTACATAGATCAATTAGAAAGTACTATATATTACCATATTTGAAATATGACATTAATAGGGAGTTTAAGAGAAGGGATTAAATTAAATTTTTTAAAAATATATAGGAACAAAAATTTGAGGTAGGGAATAATTTGAATAAAAACTAATAGTATAGGGATCAAATTATTATTTTGACTTTTAGTGCTTGGTGTTATTTGAATATATCTCTCTTGTTTTTCACTTCGAATCTAATCACACTATTTCAAAAAAAAAACTTTATTTTTTCTCTCTTCAATATTCGTTTGAGTTTTCATTTCTTCTGAGATAGAGGAGATTGAGGTAATAGTTACAGTTACATGTCTTGGAATGACGGAAGTGTAAACGTGGAAGAAAAAAAGGATAAGTAATTCCAAAAAAAATATGATTGGAGGTGACATCACAATAAGAGATATTTTAGATTAGTAGAGTTCTGGTAGCACAAATGATAAGGAAATCTAGAATGTTGTGAAGGTAGTAAAGTAAGAGTATTTATGAATGATTGCTCACTCATTGAATAACCAATTATAGGCTAGATGATTTTAGGGATTATATTACTGACTTATTTTTAAAAAAAATTACAACTGATTCATATCAAATTTTTTAATGTCACATCAGATATTATATGATATTTGATGTAACATCCACTTATACATAGATCAATTAGAATGTACTATATACCACCATATTTGAAATATGACATCAGACTTATAATATTAATAGGGAGTTTAAGATGAGGGATTAAATTAAATTTTTTAAAAAAATATAGGGACAAAAAATTGAGGTAGGGAATGATTTGGATAAAACTAACTAGTATATGGATCAAATTATTATTTAGACTTTTAATGCTTGGTAGTATTTGAATATATCTCATTTTTTACTTTGAATCTAATCACACTATTTATAAAAAAAAAAACTCACTTTTTCTCTCTTCAATATTCATTTGAGTTTTCATTCCTTCTAAGACAAAGGAGATTGAGGCAATAGTTATAGTTGTGTATCTTGGAATGGCAGAAGCATAAACATGGAAAACAAAAAGGATATGTAATTCCAAACTAAATGCGATTGGAGGTGACATAACAATAAGAGATGTTTTGGATTAACAGAGTTTCAGTATCGCAAATGATGAGGAAATCTAGAATCTTGCTCACTCATTGAATAACCAAATTGTAGGTTGGATGATTTTAGGGATTATATTACTGACTTTTAAAAAAAAAATTACAACTGATTCATATCGAATTTTTTAATGTCATATCAAATATTATATGATATTTTATGTAACATCCACTTATACATAGATTAATTGGGCAGTACTATATACAACCATATTTGAAATGTGACATTAGACTTATAAGATTAATAGGGCATTTAAGAGGATGGATTAAATTAAATTTTTTTAAAAAAAATATAGGAACTAAAAATTGAAGTAGGGAATAATTTGAATAAAAAATAATAGTATGGAGATCAAATTATTATTTCAACTTTTAGTGTTTGGTAGTATTTGAATATATCTCTCTTGTTTTTCACTTTGAATTTAATTACACTGTCTAAAAAAACTCACTTTTTCTCTCTTTAATATTCATTTGAGGTTTCAGTTCTTTTGAGATAGAGGAGATTGAGACAATAGTTACAGGTATATGTCTTGGAATGGCGGAAGCGTAAACATAGAAGACAAAAAGGATGAGTAATTCCAAACTAAATGCGATTGGAGGTGACATCACAATAAGAGATGTTTTGGATTAGCAGAGCAAAGATGAGGAAATCTAGAATCTTGTGAAAGCGGCAAAGTAAGAGTGTTGATGAATGATTGCTCACTCATTGAATAATTAATTGTAGGCTGAATTATTTTAGGGATTATATTACTGACTTTTTAAAAACAATTAAAAATTATTCATATCAAATTTTTTAATATCACATTAGATGTTATATGATATTTGTGTAACATCCACTTATACATAGATCAATTAGAATGTATTATATACCACCATATTTGAAATGTGACATCAAACTTATAACATTAATAGGGGGTTTAAGAGGATGGATTAAATTAAATTTTTTTAAAAAAAATATAGGAACCAAAATTGAGGTAAGGAATGATTTAAATAAAAACTAATAGTATAGGGATCAAATTATTATTTCGACTTTTAGTGCTTGGTAGTATTTGAATATATCTCTCTTGTTTTTATTTTGAATCTAATTATAAAATTCAAAAGATATGTAACAATATTGATATTTGTCAATGCATGTGCCATTATTTTATTTTTGATAAATTTATAATAAGTTTATTAGGAATGTGGATTATATTACTTGAAAACATGAAATCATAAAATTTTTAGTTTTAGTGTGAATAGAAATTTATTTTAATTTTTATTCACCGAATAAATTAAATTAATCGATAGTTGTAATCAATAAATAACTACTGAAATTTGTATATATCACTACATTCAATTTATCAATTAAATAATATTCGTACATCAATAATAATATGATATAATATAAATAATTTTTAAATAATAATAAAAACATAAATACAACCTCTCATAAAGAAATAAACATATTGACCATTAAGATAAGAAATTATTATATTAATACAATATTTTAATTAGTACACAATGGGAGAATTCAATTTACATTTATAATTCATAATTCATAATTGAACTAAATATGAAAGCCCCTAATAAATAACAACTACATTTCTTTTTATTATTCTCCTTTCAATTTAGGAACAAATAGGATTGAATACTATCATTGAAAGCAATGTGTAGGAGGGAATCTCTTTGGTCAATAGGAACCACTAACTCAAGCATCATCTTGATGGGTGTCATAGCCTTATAGGCTGTATTGAGACTGTGTTCTAAGCAAGTGCTTTCTCCAGTATATTAATGATGCATCTGCTAATCTTGATTATCAAAATAATTAGAGGTGAACTAAAGTTATCAGTCCTTAAATAATTAGATTGTATTGGTAGTTTTTTGCTGAAGAATTTAATCTATATAATTGGGTTTGATCTTCTTTTTCTTAATAAGATTTGATATTTTACTTCTTAGAATATACCACAGATGATTTTACAAATTAAATAAACTAGTGGCTATTATATATGTATGTATGTATCTCTTCTAGATTTGGGGAGTTAAAACAAAACTATGTAACTCTATCCAAACAAATGCATTTAACATTGCAGTAGCTTATGAATTCAGACCATATGCGTAGGTTTTACTATTAGTTCAACTTTATAATATTAATGTTTTTAAAATTAATTAGGACTTTGATGTAAATTTTAATTTCACCAAATAAGAACAAAAATACAATACAAACAATACTTTAATTCTATGTTCAATTCAAATTAAGCATTTTATAATTCATTTCTAGACACATGAAAATCGAAATATTTAGTTGTAAAATTAAAAATATGAGTAAAATTGATCTTCTTATGAGTCAAATTAATATATAAAATTATTAGTAATTTTTACATACTTAATAATTAATAATATTTAAACCGAATGGGACGTTATAATATAATTTTAAACAAATGATATTATTTAAATATTAATATCTAATAAATAAAAAAACCAATACTTATAATTAAATATTGTTTATCCTCAAATTTATCATTGTCTTTTAAATCCTACCGTGCAATTGCTCGAATTAAAACACTATAGAGAATATGGGATATTGAGGGAATTACATTTGCATATCATATATTGGAATTTGCATTTAAAATCACGATTCATGCGCATGTTCTATTACATTGGCACTTACATATTATATATATATATATATATATGAGGGAGAGGAGAACTAAGGACAATCGATGTTAATTACTTTTGTAAGTCAAAAAGATATGATGATAGTCTCTGACATACATTATATATATTTGAAAGTATATCTATAGTCTCTGTGTGTGTGTGTGTGTGTGAAAGAGCAATCAAATTGGAGATGATACGCTATGTTGATAGTTAGTAGATAACTAATTTAAGTCTCGATGCTAAATAGTTTAGTTAAAATGAAGGATTTCAAAGATATTTCACCTGAAATTTCACCATGTATATTCTAACTTATTGCTACACAATGATTCTGTAATTTGTATGTTCTTTTAAGAAAGAAAACATACAATTTGGATGTACTTCTTCAAAATGTATTTCTTATAATAAATTATTTATATTTATATTTTTACATTATAGACTGAATTAATTACTCCGGGATATAAGTGAAACCTACTCGTACAAATCTCATTGTACACTGGTAATTGTTCTAGATTTAATTTTGGGTATAAAAAAATTATCTCTACCCTCTGTTTAATTGTTCAATGAGAAATAATATCAATCCATAAATATTTGTACGTATTTTATTGATCCTGTTAATTTTGTTGGTATTTCTATCAATCATGATTAATCTTATTAACTTGGCTTGAATTTTATTAATCATGGTATCACATAATCCAACTCCACCTATATATATATATATATAAATATGCAAGTAGTAACATTTAGTTTCTATAGGAGGGGAAAAATATGCTTAAATGTCTTGGAAATTTTATTAACCAACTAAATATAATAATTTACTGTGAAAGTGATGTGTAAAACTTTCTGAGAAGATTGGAAAAAAAGTCAAGTTCTTTGTCAATCTAATCCAATCAAATATTCACAACTACTCATTTTTAATTAGAGAACAACATCTATTGAACACCGAACATTCCCCTTTGGAGAAATCGAGAGGTTTGTTCCGCGTATTGGATGAAAAATGCAAATCTTTCTTTCCCTTTCTTCTTTACTTAGTTCTGATTAACACTTTTTTGGTAGTCCTCCAATCCATCTTCTTCCTCATGGAAGCAAGGAATGAGAATGCTTGAGAAGGTTGTTAAGAGGCTGGTTTCCTTGAGCTTTACACAATAGATTCTTCACACTTTCTGTCACCTGTTTTTTTTTTTTTTTTTTTTTTTTATGAACATAAAAAACTAATTACCTATAGATAATTGAATGAATTATTAGTATTAATAAATACGTTTTGCATGCATTAATTAATTATTAATTAAATTTAACCTTGCCTAAACTTCCTCTTGTATAGGGTACACTTCTTTGATATCCAAGAGAGGTTGAAGGAGATTTCCTGGTCATTGCTTCTTCTGACCTGCATGGTAATCTTCCAATAGCATTGTTTCTACTACTGCTTCTTGTTGTCATCCTTGGAGAGCTCTGCTGTGGCCATTTACCACTCAGTACGCTTGGAAGGCTGGACTCCTAATATAATTTTAATTAAATTAAGTAAATTTAATTCTAAAACTAATCAACCTTTAAATTTCACATATCTCTAATTGTAATCAACACTTTCAAATACAGATTATGGATCTAATGACTGAGCAGGATTCCCCTGTTTTAAATGAACATACCAGAAGAGAACAGTTGCACAGTGCTTGAGGACCTCCAAGTTCATCCGAACATCATCAAGGCTCCTGGGTGTGATCATCAGCCAATCTAAGTAATTCTTTTCTTTAGAGACAAGGCAGAAATTATGCTTACAAAGAATCAACAATACCTGTGTTTTCTGCTCTCCAAGTCCGAAGTATGTAGCCAAACTTGCCATCTGTACATATACATATATATGGGTAGAATTTACGTCAATTTTTGTTTCTCATGAATGAATATTTAAGGAGACTAAATGCAAGATTCCTTCATATACTTTTAGCAGTATAATGATAATTTATAATAGTAGGCTAGGCCTTTTACAGATTAGAGTAATGACATGGCATGAAAGGATTTGCTGAAGCTCTGAATGATAAATTAAGAACCAGAACTGTAAGAAAGAAAAACACACCTTCATATTACCAGCTCTCCTGCCAAATTTCTCAGTCAGCACACCTAAAGAATCAATTATTCCAACAGGAACAGGTGCAGGCTTGCCAATCTCAGTGAAGGCCTCCTTGATGCGAATGCAGTCAAATCTTTGAATATTATGGCCTGCCCAGATTCTGCCATGCAGAATGCTATATATCTTCTCTGCAACTTGCTCAAACTCAGGTGCATCTACTATGGCATCTCTTGTTATCCCTCCAAAACGACCAGACCTCAATGCCACAACAGACAAGTCTTTGGGTTTTATGAGAGTAGTGAAGCTCTCGAGCTCAATCAGCTTATGTGGGCAAACTACAATAGAACCAAACTCCAACACCCAGAAACGTTGTCCGGCTCTGTTGGGTACATTGGTTTCCAAGTCAAAGAAGACAATCCCTGTGTTGCCTTCAATAGTGCATGAGCTAGAGCTAGAGGCCTCCATTTCAAGTTGCTAACTGGTTTTGATTTCTGAGTTTCGGTAATCTCAATTGCCTTTTTGATCATGTTATAATAAATAATGAAGGAAGACTGAAGAGGGAAAAGGAATGGAATTCTTCTTACATGAGACCGATTTTCTTGTAGTTCAAGTCAAGATTTTAAGGTTTGATGTAGGAAGGGTGCTTAGCTTCTAGGAGATGTGTTAAGCAAAGCAATTCCAAGTAGGCAGGAAAATGATTGTGTAAGGCCAAGAAATCCATTTTCTCGTGTCTTTTTCCAGTTTGCTTTTGGAGGAGAAAGAAACCTTTTTGGAAACCTCTCAGGTTTCTTCACCAGTGAGGCTACAGTTATTGAATAGGTTGAAACAGCTAAAGCATATAATAGGGCATTGATTCCCTGCCCTTTTCCATAATATACCTTAAAATTCGATTACGATAAAAAGAAAATTATGCTATAATATTGGATTATATGCTTTAATAGGCAAGAAATTTTAAGGCAACAAAATTTGAGCTTGTTGTATTCTTGCGTACAGAGGAAAACAGAGGAAATAGCAGTGTCACAAGAAGGGGTCTGCTAGC